CGGAGGCTAGCTAGACCCTCCCTCCTCCGCATCTCATCTCCTCCCCCTCCCTTCCGTGCTTCCTGAAATAATTGTGAACGTGCATAGTTCTAGCTAATTATATCCTTGTGTGGGTTTGGCGAACATAAGCGTCAATTTAGAAGAAAAAAAACAATTTAACGTTACCCACCTGTCAAGCAAAAACAGAGCAACCTGAATGTCGGACTGTAAGCCCTTCTGCCGCCGGAGTTTTCGCCATCGTTCAAAAGCTTTGCTACTGATGTAAATTCGGAACTTCGCACGTTCTTTATCCGACTACTTCTTCTTTTTAATTTGTTCTTCAGAACGACGTCTCTTTGGTCGTGTGTCGGTAATTTTTCAAACTTCCCTCTGATGCTTCGCTGCTCTCCTTCACACACACACACACACCCTTCATGTGCACGCGCACTAACCCCCCAGACCCACCCTCAAATACTTCTTGCCAGTGATTGGCTGGAACACTGTTTGTTAGGTTTCGTGGTCCGGGTAAGACATGATTGTTTTTGTTGCCGTTTGTGGAGCCTGTGGTGTCTACAGAGACCGCGTTTTTTTACAGTGTGTTTAGGGGACAGGCAGCTAGCCGATAGTGAAGAGACGTTTGATGTATGTGACAAAAAAATGTTTTGGCCCCACATTGCTTAGAGAACCTTTAAAATGTGCTTAAATTTGTTCATAATGATGTGTAAATGTTTCATATTTTTCATAATTTATTAACAAACAAATCTTTTTCGTTTTAATTATACATGCGGTTTTTATTACACATGTAGTTAAGTGAGATATATTTGATGAATATATTGTAAGTTTTCATTTGTCACCATGTTATGGGAAGATTCATTTTAAATTGACTAAAGGAAAATGTGTCTTCATAATGATAAGTAACAAGTGCTTGAAGCTTCCCTGAGGACAGGTGCAGTGTCCCATGATACGCTTTCCATTTATAACACTTGTAATATGCCACCAAGACAATAGCCTTATCAACGGAAGCACACAGCCTGCAAACTGTGTAATTCTCCACCATCCTGCATGCCCTATGTGCTCGTGTTAACATTTCCTCAATACTTGAAGTGAATGGAATGCATTTTCTTCCCCAGCGTTGTTTCTGTGGCTCACTAATTTATGTATAAATAATCCCAACTATTTTATCCCTCCATGAAAAATTCATGATAGTTTTTCATGGGGATGCCAGGGGCAGGGCGCTTGGTGCCGCCACCATTATTAGAACAGATGAAGTTTGAGTAATTATGCCACAAATAGTGGAGCCAAGTGTGTATTCTGAGCTAGTGCGGTGCCCTCATTAAACTAGTGAGATACAAATGCAGAGCCACATTAGACTGAACAGTCTAAGCACACATGCCTCACTGTGATTCTCTCTTTGACAGCTTTGTAAGTCAAACGGATGCTCATCTGTGATCTCAGCATCTTTTATAGCCTTGAGGGAGTTTTACAGCTATTCTAAATGAACAAAAAAAGTGCATTTTGGACTTTATAGTGCATCGTTTGTTATTCAAGCATCATAGAGATGTGAAGCTGTCATTTATCTTTCTTAGCATACAGTATGTCTCCATTTTACTCAAACTGTTCATGTTTGAGAGTACTGTAAGATACTTTATGAGTCTATTTTTCACTCGCAGTACCAGTTGTTTTTAGTTTAAAAGTGATTTATTGTAGCTGTTTTATTATTTATTTAACTGACTTTTTTCAGGTTGAAATGAGTTAAAATTATATATTTCTTTAATAGTAATAATATTATCACATAGTATTAAAACTACCATTTTTATTTTTATTTTTTTTTTAAACAAAGTGAATTTATTTTAACAGTTATTATTTTATTATATATTGTTTTATGAAATCTAGTTTATGAATAATACATAATTTTTGTTGTTTATGACAAGGTACTTGAGCCATACTTGAGCTTAAAGCTACAATTTGTAAGAATTTTGTAAAAAATAAATAAATCCAAAAATCACTTGCACAGTGTGACATATTTCCTGCAGTTGTGTACTTACAATATTCCCAAAAGTCTCCAAAGATTTTTATTTCAGAGATTATTATTTCATTTTAAATAAGTGGCCGTCCCGGAAACAATTTCGCCTGTCAATCACGCAATATCCGCACTATCTTCGGTTTCTGTTCATACTGCCGTAACCATGGCGACAGACGTAGCGGGACGCAGTTCTTGTTTCTTTCAAATATAGACCATGGCAAGCAGACTTTGGGACAAACGAGGAGAACTAAAATGAGGATATCAATATCAGTGTGGCGTTTTTGGGATGCCGAGCACTCCACGTCCGCGACTAACTTGGACTTGACAGAGCTTCACGAATCACGACTTGACAGCTTAATTAGACAGGTGAGCAAATACATAAAACAAATCAACGATATATAGCATTAGCTCAACATAATCAAATGTTATAATATGGTCAGTATGTTATTCTAATGTTGATCTAACTTACTGCTAGTTCATTTAGCAAGCGAACTAACACGTAGTATAACATTATAACTTTCAATTTAAATGCCGTTTAGTGTGATAGTGTAACGTTAGACCAAGTGAAGCAGCACTGCGTTACCTCATAAGTTCAATTCGTCTAAAAAACTGACCTGTGTGAGTAATCCAGCACTTGCGGGTAGTTCAGTAGAATGAAATGTCCTTATTCCTTAATATCCGCGGGACTCGCGTGTGATATCTGTCTCTTTAGCAATCGCGACCTGCTTCATACCACAGTAATGTTAAAAAAACATGAATGTTTGCACTCATCCATAAACATTATTAGATCCATCAGCTTGACGGCAAGTCCCATCATTCAGCTCATCACTGCGTCATCAACCTACACCTTTGTTATAGTTGGAAACTGCGCCCTCTTGTTGCAAATAAATCGTAAATATTGTGCCTTTAATGAACAAACAATTACGTCATTGCCTCTGCTTGCTTTTAATCTATATATTACCTCGTCTTCTTTGGCATAACGCTTGTCAAAGGTAATTTATCATTCAAAGATTCAAACCTCCCACCAGTGAAAAGCTCTCCCAACACCATCCGCCACTGCCTGGTGGATACTGACCCCCTCCCCAATGGTGGCTGTTTCCAGCTTCACATTGAAGCCTTCGCCAAACATGGCATACAGTGTGCTTTTCACAGCCTGCCTCTTCAGAATGGTCTTTGGGAATAGCATTGGAGGGCTGGCATTGTTCCAATGTGGTGTGAAGAGAGGGACTGCCGTGGCTAAGGTCAGGGTTAAGCTGACGGATTCTTCCAGAAAACAGGAGCTCACAGACAAGATGTTAATGACCTGAACGATGACTCACCACTTAGGCATCCATCACAAACATGCCTCAGTCCTGAAACACATGAATGCAAACAGAAACAAAAGAGCGCCAGATCTGTGTGGCATTGTGTCGTACCTGACAGATTTGATGTTTTTAACTACTTTGACCACCAAGGAGGTAGCTAAATGTATATATCTAATCAATTAATTGAGTATTAAATGGTTAGTTCACCCAAATGTGGAAATTCTAACATTATTTACTCACCCTTGTAGTTTCAAGCCCTTATGACTTTCTTTGGGCTTGAAAAAACAATTTGGTTCATGAGCTTTTTTTTTTTTTTTTTCTATGTATAAGAAAATGGAAAAGGGTGCTGGCGTTCTAAAATGACAAAAAAAATCTTTACCTCTGCTTTAGTTCTCAAATCTCATTCACATACTGTATACTCTGATATGGTGCTTCAAGTCATGAATACACTATTAATACACTAAACCAATTACCATCAGCAATTACAATCTGCTTACATTGAAGGGTCTCTTATGTTTGCTTATGTTCTCTCTTATATTTGCATATGTTCTCTATTGCAGGTTCTGGTTTGTAGCCTTTAAAAGAAGCTTGCCGTTTTAATTAGCCAAACTTTATCCTATTCAGAAATACAAATTACATTTGAGATCTATGGTGTGGGGGCATAGTCTTTTTGAACATTTTTAATGTTTTATTATCTTGTAGATTGATGTATTTGTCTTTGTCCAGTATACGATTAGTTGGTAAGTTAATCTAAAATTTCCTTTCCATTCAGCCTGATGAACATTCATCTCAATTTTGGAATTAATAGTCAATAGATTTGTGTTTTTATTTTTCTTTCAATTTTGTCTTAGTTTCATTACACTAATTCTTTAACCAAGGGTCTCTCTTGCATAGTCTACATGACAAATCCCACTTTAATCAAGCCTAAATACATAATTACGGGCTATATTTACTTTTTTTTTAATTGGCTTGTGGGAAAAATTATCATTGAATATCTTGAATCTCTTAAATTTAAACGTTCATAAATTTAAGTAATAAAGTCAACTTTTTTTTCCTACTTAATTTGCCATATAGTCTGACTCAGGTACTGTATTCAAATATTCTGTCCTTGAATTATGATTCAGTCAATTAGTTAGTGTTTCCTTCTCATACCCTTAGTGGGCCATACAAAATAATGGACTATATTTAGAGTTTCAGTCAAGATCTGAAGCCCATGGGATCTCAAGCTGAGAGATGAAGGTTGTGGCTTTGTGCTTATAACTGAGTAATTTGTAAAAGTATGTGTTTTTGTGCATGTATCCACCTTAAGACAGCAGGATTGCAGTTTTTAAGTGCTGCCTCTATTGTTGTTGGCTGGAGACGCAGCTCTAAAGGGGCATAATTGGACAGAAGAAAATGAAGTGGCTTGCGCTAGGATGAGGTCTCTGTGCTTGAATGAAACTAGGGGATGGTATTTACATGCAAATTGCATCTAGTCTTCCAACTGTCTAGTTACCTTACCCTTTTTGAGCTGCTGGCCCACTTATCATGCTGTTTATACAATAAACACCACACTAAGGTTAATGTATTTTGATGCATGGCTACATGCAATATTATCATCAACAGTTGCGTAACCTGGCTTTATTGCAAACAGCTGCCGGGCAACTGCGAATCACAGCAAGTCACTTTTTTTGGGGTTTATTTTGGTTTCCTAGGCAACGGAATGGGGCCCAGACGAAGACACCAGGAGGTCCTGTCAAAGCAAAGGGAAGACAGAGGTAACTTTAAACCCCCAGGTTCTCTGTTGAATAGGCACATTTCTAACAAAATGCTGACAGCCCATTGGCTAGAATGGTCGGGTATTGTTGAAGGTTTGTGGGAGGGCAATATGTTGAGCTTACTTATTCAGTATTTTTAAAGCCCAAATGTCAGTATTTTCTTTCTTGAGCTTATCATTCGCTGAATGTGAAAGGCAAAATGAAAAACCCACTAGCTAGCTAGATTAAAACGTTGCAGGAAAAAGTGTTTTTGCAATTATTAAAGTATTTCAAGAAGAAGCTTAGCTCTTTAGAATGACTGTAAAGAACCGGTTCTCACCACCACTCTCAACCAAATTGAAAACTAGTTTATTTCATGAATTTGAGCATGCTGAATGAAAACTACCTAACCTTTTTTGAATATGGAGTATGCTGTAATTTCCCAGAATGAGACTGATCTGCTTCTTACTTATTCCTATAAGTGATGAAGTACAAAAACCAACACTTTGTAAGTTTTCAACTCAAATAGACGGCATAAACAACAGTCCTTTAACTTTTAATTTAAGCCACGAGGCTTTATGCCTCAGTGACGCTGCTGGAGGGCTTGTCATTTCCCATCCTGTTTGAAATGCTGTCACTTTTACAGTTAACTGCACAAGAAGGTTGATGCCGTGACTCGCCGATCCATTGCTAGATGGCATTATTTATGGATTTTACTACAAATGAAAGCTGAAATAATCACACTCCTTGGTGAAGAATAAGTACTCTCACAGGAAATATGGCATAATAATAATGGCATATTAGAATTCTTTGTCATAACATTATAAATGAATGATAATCAGTTCTATAATCATGTTGAAACCGATATGATTGAGCAAGAATCCTGCAAGAAATTCCCACTGGGTGAACTTTTTTTTTTTTTTTTTTTCTTCAAAAGCTTGGCATCAGTAAGATAGGAAGAATAATTTGTATTCATTAATAACACATTAAATTGTTAAATCAAAAGTGGCAGTAAAGACACTTACATAATAACAAAAACGTATTATTTAAAAAAAAAACATGGTTATTTTCTACTCTATTCATCAAAGAATCCTGAAAAATTGATACTGTGTGTATATATATATATATATATATATATATATATATATATATATATATATATATATTAGGGCTGTGCAAAGATTAATTGCAATTAATCGCATCCAAAATAAAAGTTTGTGTTTACATAATATGTGTGTGTGTGCTATGTATAATTATTTTGTATATATAAATACATATGCATGCATGTATATATATATATATATATATATATATATATATATATATATATTTAAGAATTATTTGCACGTATATACTGTGTGTATATATATATATACATAATCTATATTATAAATATAAATATTTTATATACGAATACCACATTTTCTCAAATATATACATGCATGTGTGTGTATTTGAAGAGTTCAGATGCAAAAGCCTCTAAATGCCATTTGAAATTTTCATCTTTAATGATGATTTTTGTCAAACTTGTATATTTAAGTTCAGTAATTTCACTTAAATAACAATTAATAGGTAATTATCATTGCCATTTAAGTGAAATCACTGAACTTAAATATACAAGCTTGACAAAAATCATCATTAAAGAAGAAAATTTCAAATGGCATTTAGAGGCTTTTGCATCTGAACTCTTCATTTATATACAAAAATATTATACATAGCACACACACATATATTATGTAAACACAAAATTTTGGATGTGATTAATCTTTGTACAGCCCTAATATATATATATATATATATATATATATATATATATATACAGTATATATATATATATATATATATATATACATATAAATTCTTATCATGACTTCCACAAAAATATTTAGCTGCAGAACTCTTTTCAATGTTGATAATAAGAAATGTTTCTTGCACCAAATCAGCATATTAGAAAAATTATTTCTGAAGGATCATGTGCATTCAATCACAGGAATAAATTACATTTTAAAATATCTAAAAAAAAAAAAAGAGACTGTCAAAAGTTATTTGTACAATATTATTTACAATATAATTACATATATAAAATTGTATGCATTACAATAATAATTTGAACATGTATATTGTTAAATGTATCTCCTGCAGGTGGAGTGTCAAAACTACATCCGTGTGTTGCTTGTCAACAAGACCGAGGTGATCACCTGCGGGACCAATGCCTTCCAGCCCCTTTGTATCACCAGAGAGGTAAGCATCTATCGGTTAAATGGGCTGTCTGAACTGGAGATTTTATTAAAGTGAGTGACGTGTGTGTGATCCATGCCGAATCCTTTTCTCAGGCAGGGAACATGAGCAGAGTGTTAGAGAGGGTGAATGGAGTGGCTCGTTGCCCCTACGACCCTCGTCATAATTCGACGGCTGTGGTGACCGAAAGTGGAGAGCTGTACGCTGCCACGGTCATCGATTTCTCCGGCCGGGACCCTGTCATCTACCGCAGCCTGGGAGGAATGCCGCCTCTGCGGACCGCCCAGTACAACTCCAAATGGCTTAATGGTACATTAATCTCATCATTTTATGATATTATCCCAGAGATTGTCTGGAAAGTCTTAACATTTCTGTTGCTGCCCTTCCTCTTTTCTGTCCTACTAATATGCCGCCAAATGGTGTTCTTCAAATGGAAAGCACTGAGACTTCAATTCAATAGCATTCCCCATAAGAAAGAAAAATCACAAGTTGTTTCCATTAGTCTCCCACTTTTCTTTAAAAAAAAACCCTCACATGCTCCATCTCCTCTTTTTAGTATCGATATCAAAATGTTCCCCAAGTGCTCTTCTCACTTTAATCTTGAAGTTTTAGTCATTTTATTGTGTTTTTGTCTTTTTTTATTCTTATTCTTATTGACTAGGTTTATATAGTAAATTTCATTATTTGAAATGTAGACTTGCAACTTGCTGAAATAAAAATAAAATATAAATTAATTAATTAAATTAAATGTGAGGTTTTTTTTTTTTAGTTAGCATTTTATTTCAAGTAACAAAATGTTTTAGTTTTTGTTAAGGATAATATCCCGGATCCATGTTTGATCTGACCTAAGTGCACATGACAAGTTTCTATATGACACAAAGGTTGTTCTTCAACAAAAAGCGAGAAAAGCACAGCTACACTCTCACAGTTTCAGCTTTTGTGTCTAAGGCAGATTTTTAGAGCAGCCCTGGCCTGTCAGGGGAGGAACCAGTCAAACATGGAGATGAACGAAACACTGCACACTTCCTGCAAAAAGTCAAAAGGTGTCAATAATCTCCCAGCTGCTGACACTGTGCCTTTTCCCACAGAAATCCATCTAACACCAGACAAAAAAGAATAAGCAGAAAGTTAAGAGTAGTTGAGGTGAAAGGAGGAGAAGGACATAGACAAGTGTTGGAAAGTTAGAGATGGTGGTGAAAGTACAGAATTGGGTGGAACGGAATAAAGTTCAGGCATCCTGCAATGTAATTATTCCTCATGGCCGAGAGAGGGTGAAATTGCAGCTAAACGCTTCACGTCACCCAGTCGGCCTGTAGTTCCACTGTTGGCTCACGTTTTAGGAGAGGGAAAGACAAAAAGTGAGATTATTGAAGCATGCACATTTATCTGCAGTCTAAGGACACATTATATTGACCATACTTGAGTAAAATCAGCACAAGAAAGTTTGAAATCAATGTGAATTGCTATTTTACCTCTAGAATATCACATAATTCAAAGTGAAACAGGATTCATAACATGTAGAAATTACTTTTATTCATTTTGAGTCGTTTGAATTGTGAAAAGGGAGTTAGCGCTTGCAAATGGAGCTAAAGTAGCTATTTGGCTTATAGTTAAAGGGTTAGTTTACCCAAAAATGAAAATTCTGTCAGTATTTACTCACCCTCATGTTGTTCCAAACCTCTATGTGTTTTTTTGTTCTGCTGAACACAAAGGAAGATATTTGGAAGAATGTTTTAATCAAACAGATCTCAATCCCCATTGACTAGTCAATAAACACATAGAGGTTTGGATGGGAAAGATGGGAAATAATTAGCATAGCTGCTGTTCATAGTATTAATGTTTTCGATCTGATTCAACAGAGTTATAAAATGTGAATGCTTGGATTAAGAGATGCGTCTTTAATCTAGTTTCAAACTGGGACAGCGAGTGTGAGCCTCGAACAATATCAGGAAGGCTATTCCAGAGTTTAGGAGCTAGAGAACGCCCTCCCTCCTTTAGTGGACTTAGATATCCTAGGAATGACCAGAAGCCTTGAATTTAGTGATATTAAAGAGCATGTGATGGATTGTAGGGTGATAGAAGGTACATTAAATACACAGGAGCTAAACCATTTAGGGCTTTATAGGTGAGTAATAGTACTTTGTAATTGATGCGGATCTTAATAGGTAACCAGTGTAGAGATGATAAAATTGGTGTTATATGATCATACACTCTAATAATGCTGGGTTGTTTTAACCCAAATTTGGGTATAATATGGACAAACCCAGCATTGGGTTACATTTTTTGGTCCCACTTTATATTAAGTGGCTTTAAGTACTATGTACTTACATTGAACAATAAGTACATTGTATTATTGTGTTCCTGTTGTATTGTAAAACACTTTTGCTGCTATTGAGATGTGATACGGGTAAGGTTAGGGACAGGTGTGGTGGTATGGGTCGGTTTAATGGTAGGTTAAGGTGTGAGGGGAGGGTCAACTGTGTAATTACTAATGTAATTACATAAAGTAATTATGGCTGTAAGTACATGCTGGAATTTTAAAATATAAGTACAATGTAAAAACATGTAAGTACACAATAAGTCCATTGTAACAAACTATTAATTTCAATGTAAGTACATAGTACTAAAAGCCACTTAATATAAAGTGGGACCCATTTTTTAAATTGCATTTTTAATCACACGTTGGGGTTTGTCCATATTTGACCCAAATAGGGTTTAAACCAGCATTTTTTAGAGTGTATTTTCTTGACCTGGTAAGAACTCTAGCAGCTGCATTTTAGCATGTTACGTAGCTTTGAAATGTTTCTAAGGTGCAAAAAGGCTGTTCTTGTAACATGAAATATGATGTTCGAAAGACAAGTTGCGGTCTAGTAAATCACCCAGGTCTTTTACTGTAGTGGATAAAGTAAAAGTTTTATAACGTATATTTCACATATGAACTTAAAGTCCCTGTAAAGGCAATTCTACAAAAAAGTTCTAAACACATTATAAATGTTACATATGTATTGCTAAAACATATTACAAAGTCTGTGAACTGTGAAGTACTGAAATGTGGAGTTAGACCGTTAAACAGTTTTTCATTATTGCAATTTTACGGATTAATTAGGCGGGGCTAAAACAGGGCTCGATGACGCACTGGAGCCCATGAGCTGCTGGACACCCCCTATTTGATGACGCACTGAGTCTGATCTCCACACACACTCCCCGAGCACATTCGCATTCACCGCTCAATCGCGAGTGACTGTCAGTACTATTAGTTACTACAACTGAGCCTACAGTTTTCTAGCTAGCTATGCCTTCGACACGGACATGCATGGGCTACTACCTGGATGCGATCATGTACAAAACAGATCGGTATCTTCATTTAAATTCCCCTAAAAACGATCACATCAAGAAGAGGTTTTTAGAGAGCTAACCTTGTTGATGAAAAGCTGAGGATCACCCCCAACACCCGCCTCTGTAGTGATCGTTTTACACTGGATCGTTTTATAAACTTTCCTCAGAGACAACTTGGATTCACTGATAATCCGCTGTTACTGGTGAACGGGGCCGAAACGACGATCTCCCGCCTCAGTGTTCATCCTCCCGTCTCCAAAAGCTAATCAGCTAATATCACCGTCAACAGCTTTCCCGCTAGTGGGCGTGGTTTCAGCGCAGCCAGCGGACACGCCCCCAGCGTTTGAGAGCAGAGAATCTGCTCATTTTTTCATGATTTTGATAGCTTATTTTATGTACTTGCCGGCTTTTTTATCATTCAAATTTGGCTGGGTGGCTAATAACACATTTTTCTGTGGTATGACAGACTCAGAACACATACTTAATTTTGACTTTACAGGGACTTTAAGAACATCCAAAACAAATGCTGCGTGCTAGGATACATGCGTTCATTGTACTGCATGTGGATAGCCTACATACATGTATAGCTGAGAACTTGTGAAAAGCTTATAAAATGTGTAAAGAAGTCAAAAAAAATCAGCAGGAATCGGTAACACTTTAGAATACGGTTCCTTCGTTAATGAATAACTACACAAGAACTAATGAGTAACACAATATTAACAATCTAGTAACTATTATTAACTAACAAGAAACTCTTATTAACGAACTAGTAAGTAATAGCGCACAGACGAAAGTGGTAGTTCTCTATTAAGTAATCAATAACTACTATTTTTTAATACTTCCCAGAGAACTACTGAAAAAGTTTATTAATAATCTAGTAACTACTATTAACTAAAAGAAACTCTTATTAACGAATTAGTAAGTAATAGCTCACAGATGAAAGTGTTACTAGATACTTCTGTGGGAATTACTAATTATTTGGATCCGTATTATAAAGTGAAGATCATTGGAACTAACTAGTAATTACTCAAAGACATTTTCTAAAAGTTACTAAATTTCACCAAAAATCTCAAACGTTTGCACAAATCATGACTAGATCATGTAGTAACACTTGAGTAATTACTAGTTAGTTCCAATGATCTTCACTTTATAATACGGATCCAAATAATTAGTAATTCCCACAGAAGTATCTAGTAACACTTTCATCTGTGAGCTATTACTTACTAATTCGTTAATAAGAATTTCTAGTAGTTACTAGATTGTTAATAAACTTTTCAGTAGTTCTCTGGGAAGTATTAAAAAATAGTAGTTATTGATTACTTAATAGTGAACTACCACTTTCGTCTGTGCGCTATTACTTACTAGTTCGTTAATCAGAGTTTCTTGTTAGTTAATAATAGTTACTAGATTGTTAATATTGTGTTACTCATTAGTTCTTGTGTAGTTATTCATTAACGAAGGAACCGTATTCTAAAGTGTTACCCAGGAATCCCTCCGTCACACACACAAACTAAGATCTCCTGTAAGGAGACGTCTTTTTAGTGTGTGTGCAGTTTTTGGTTTGTTTCCATGTGTTTGGTCCATGTTTCATTCGAACCGCACCAGAGTTTATTTGGAAGCTGCCCCATGTTTTAAGCAGTCTCGGTCTGCTTAATTCTAGCACACCAGGGTTTAGATGGCAGCGTTCACACATGTTCAAATGAATCGCACTAACAGAGCAATCGCACCAGGGTTCGTTTTAATCGAACCAAACATGCCAAGTGTGAACACACCCTAAATGGATATGAAGTGTGAATTAAAAACTTGTTTCTCAACTGAGGTTGAGTGAAGAACGGCATGAACCTCAAGTGTCCACAATCGAATCCATCCGGACTGTTATTGTATCAGTCGTGCCAGGTGCTGACGCTGACTCAATGTTTGCTTTTTTTAACACTGAGCCCATGTGGGGTTTGACCTGAAGTGAGATGTGATATTGTTTTAGCACTGCTCTGATTCAATGAGAAATATCATCATCGCCAACAGCATGGCTATTAGAACATGCCTCTCTCCTCTCGAACTTATTGGGCCTCGTAATTCACTTCCCAGCTTAGTGTTTTCTCCTGACTGTGGCCCGCAGATAAACACACACACACATACAGGGACCCTTGATGGAGTGGCGGTGTGGAAATGAGGCAGTATTTACGTTCAGCATGGAAGAAGGAAAATACAGTTTGTCATGTTCAGTCCCACACAAATCAGCACACTCACACCCTGCCCATTCCAGCTTAGCAAAATGACTTGATTAATTCATGCAGTCTCTGAGAAGTCATTGTTGTAGTTCCTGAATGCATCTGTATTGGTTTTCACTGTTTCTCTCTAACCACTTTCTTCACCCTGATCTGTGTGGAAGTGTAGTTATGATGTACTGAATTAAAGTGTGTGAATTCTTCGTTTGATCACAACAACAATGCTCTCTGAATACATCCGGACAGAGAATTAAATCTTTTTTTTTTTTAAAGTTCACCCCTTACAATTTGTACCAGGCAAGGCATGGAACTTATGAACTACACTTACAGTGTCATATGATACATATTCATATTCTAGTGTGTTTGCAATGGTACTTTGCTTCAAATACATGTCCAAAAAAGCATTAGTCTTCTGTAGTACATGTCCAAAAAGATGTAGCATTACCCAGTCCTGATAACATAGTCATCATGTATTCACTCAAAATACTGGGATGGCATCTGACGTTAAACGGCATCGTTAAAAATCTCTAATGCTCACAAAGACTGGATTTATTTGATTTAAAAATACAGTAAAACGGTAATAATCATTCTAATATGCTGATTTGGTATTCAGGAAAAATGTGTTATTATCAATGTTGAAAACGGTTGTGCTGCTTAATATTTTTGTGGAATCTGTGATACATTTAATAATTCGAAAAGGAACAGTGTTTATTTTAAAATGGAATTTACTGACACAATTTGACCAATTTAATGTATTTCTTTCAAAAAAGAATTAAAAAAAAAAAAACGTACAACCCAAACTTTTGAATGGTAGTGTAGCATAGTATATATTTAATTAGTGCTTAAAGGTAATTTTCTTGCCGTTTCCCACACAAAACGTTAGTAGTATAAAATTATGCATTGAAAATTGTACAAAGTCATTTGATTTCAGTTTATGGTGCTTTTTGTCATTTTTGGACCAGTATATGATACAATGCACAAAGGTCCAGTCCAGTTTCGACCATATAATTCTGTCGCAGTCAGTTTATGCAGATAGAGCAGTGTCAATATTTTTATTTTTTGACCATGGTTTAATTTTCTCCGGGCTGTTTCTGGATCAGCGTCCACTGAGATTTGGTATTTATTGTGTTTAAAATTGAATCAAAAACAGTTAAGGCTATTGAAGCCTCTCCTGGGATTCACAGCATAACAGTAATCTCATTTTCGTAAAACGCTGCGATGGCCCCTGCAGTTATTATAGCCTTGCTTATTCGCAGGTGAATATCTACGGCATGCATTACTGGATGGGCTGGGGAATAAACAGGCCTTAGGGGTAAGACATTATTCAGTGTATGTGATATTACTCTGACTAATGCAATCTAGACCAGTGGCACTTGGACCGACGGGACAGCTTTGTGTATTCAGAATAATTTTTGCATGTCACATGCACACAGTTTTCTGCTCCAGTCCAAGGCAGGCCTAAGCGGATATTCAGAAAGAGTGGAACTAAGAAGTTCAATGAAAAGGCAGTTTGCTGTGGAAGTAAATTATTGTTTTGGCCTTTAAGCTACTCAATGCTGCATTGCTGAGAGTCCTGCCATTTGAAATGCTTGTTTTACCCAAAAGGTCTTTAGCAGCACTTTGTTTTCCTTCTCCCTCAGAGCCTCACTTCATCTCGGCTTACGACGTGGGTCTTTTCACCTTCTTCTTCTTGAGGGAAAATGCAGTGGAGCACGACTGCGGTAAGACGGTGTATTCAAGGGTGGCACGGGTGTGTAAGAACGACATAGGAGGCCGCTTCTTGCTGGAGGACACGTGGACCACCTTTACGAAAGCCAGACTCAACTGTTCACGGTCGGGAGAGATCCCATTCTACTACAATGAGCTACAGAGCACCTTTTACCTGCCTGAACAGGACCTCATCTATGGGATCTTCACCACCAATGTGTAAGTTTAGTCATCTAACAGCAAAATTTTGTGTAGTTGTTTGAGTGACATTAGTACTTTTATAGTACTGAGGCGTTACATGCTTTACTCCATCCAGAGCCGATCCTGACCTCCCTAAGCAAAAATCCTACCTGACCCATGAGCCATGTAAACCATTTACTATTGCCACATAGTCTGACACCCCAGCTCTCCCTAACACAGTCTCATCCCAAATCGTCATATAACTGACGTTTTGGGACGTATTTTGACCATACGTCAATATCCGCCTTTTTAGGGCCCCCTTAAACGTCGGTAGATGGCGATCCCGGGCCGTCATACAACTGACGCTTTACCTTTAACGTCAGTTAGGTGACGGGTTAGGTTTAGGGTTAAGTTTAGGTCTGGGGTAGAGTTAGGATCCCATAACCTCATCTACCGACGTTTAAGGGGGCCCTAAAAAGGCGAATATTGACGTATGGTCAAAAGACGTCCCAAAACGTCAGTTATATGACGATTTGGGATGAGACCGGGTTGCTCTCCCACTACAAACCTCCCTCGTTAAGTTAGTACTAATAAAAATGTAATTCCTGATATCTTAAATAGTCATCTTTTATGTCAATAATTCACATTTTAAAATAGTACACATTTAGTTATTGATATCAAAAATGCATCCTGTGAATTATTAAAGCATGTCACTGTGTTTTAAATGATATAAGCAATAATTGATACTTGATGGTTGCTGAGGGATGTGCATCCATATTGACCAGTGTGTCCTGCCAATCAACATTTTAAATGCAAGATAGTCAATGTCAATAGATTGCTTTCCATCTTGCTTTATTGCAGAGTTGTAACTAAACTGACTGGGAGACTAAATAATCATTGTCTTGTTTTAAAAGTATATGAGCGCCCAATGAGGAGTGCCATCACGCCCATATTGTACTGGTAACTGGTCCCCATAGATGTTTTACTGGAAAGTGTGCGTTTCATTTTGTGCACGCGCATATGAACTCATGTTAACGCGTGACGTGGTTATCTTTTCTGAGTATGCAGTTTATAAACACACACCGTTGCCCTTTGTCAAACGTAATCTCACACTGAAATATAATCCTGTAAAAAAAAAAAAACGGTAAAGTACTGCCAGCTGTGGTTGCCAGCATTATACCGTAAAAATACGGTGTGTTAATGTTAATTTTTAAACAGCTATATGCTTTTAAATGACAGTTTTATACTGTAGCTGACAAAACAGTATTGAGCTGTTAATTTCAAAAACAGTAACACCATATTTTTACGGTACAATAACTGCTAGTAGTTTACCGTTTTTTTACAGGATCATTTTTTACAGTACAATTTCTCTTACTATTTATACGCCTAAAATGGTTTTTGAGTGCATATGATATGCCAACGCATTCTCATTCTCAAGGCGTCATATACTGGCGCATTGGCCAATGCGTATATACATCCAACACATTGTATCAATGTATCACGCTTCGGTTATGGGTAGGTTTAGGTCTGGGGTAGGATTAGGGTTAGACCACTAGGAGGCACCCATATATATCTGCGTCTCATATTGACGCTAAAGGGTGCCATGTGCGTTGGATTAATACGCATTGTCAAAAGCGTCAGTATATGACGCCTTGGGATGAGAACGGGCTGGATATCACTGTAAATATCTTGGGTAGGATTAGGGGTGTGGAGTGCGTATATTACACGCCAAAAAGTGTGTATCATATGCACGCAAAAACTATTTTTGGTGTATAAGTGGCACGAGAAATTTGTGGTATAGATGCGCACTTTCATGAGATTGGGATGGTTAGACAGACAGATAGATAGAGAAGCACATTAACTTTATACTGTTCTGTGCTGATATCAAATTTGGAGAGGAGAGAACACAAGTCTGCCTGATTGCTGTTTTCGTGCCCAGAAGGATAGTACCACTTAATTATCTCATCGAACTTTGATTGACGAGCTTTGACACGAGGGGAAGGCAGGGCCTTGAGTCATTTGCAGGGCCCTGCACAGCTTGCGTAGTGTGCGTATAGGGAAGATTGGCTCTGACTCCATCTAATTTTAACTTAATAAATAATATGTTTATAAATGTATATAATAAATATGAGAAATTATTATTTGGTGACACTTTAGATTAGGGTCAAAATCTCACTATTATCTATTAATATGACTTTTGCTTCAATACATACCTAATTATTGGTTATTAATAGTTAGTAACGTAGCGGTTAAGTTTAGGTATTGTCATGGATTAAGATATGTAGAATATGGTCATACAGAATAGGTAAGTGTTATAAGTAATAAACAACCAATATCCTAGTAAAATGCATGCTAATAAGCAACTAGTTAGTTAGTGAAAATTAGACCCTAATCTAAAGTGTTACCAGTTATTTACATTATATATAGAGTTATATATTTGTGTTTAAAGTATACACAATTTTGTGAAGTTTATAAGCATATTTATAATGGAAGATAAAATTACTGAATGAGTAACTTTCCCACACAGCAGTATATATTTAACCTAAAATATCGAAGGACATAATATGTATAATATACTGTATGTATGTATATATATATATATATATATATATATATATACACACTTAAGAACTAAACATGTGACAAACTCATGCTTTGTAAACCCTAGCTGTGAATATCTTTTGTCAAGATTACAAATTTTGAATTACACCTGAAACGAGTCTGTTTCAGTTTATCCAAGAAATGTGAGAAGGCCTTAGAGAGTAGTACATGAATATGTTGTATCTCTTTTACAGTTTGGACAGAAAATAAATTAGCAATAGATAAACAAGCATAGTTTTGCCCTTAATTGCAAGTCACATTGCTAACAAAGGATTTGTTAAGAATATGAATTTAATAGGATTTTAAAGCTAGTAGCTAATAATGGTGTAGCCGCAGCTATCACAGACTTTCTAATTAATATTTTAATTAAATCTTCTGACTGTCATCAATCACTTATTTCTCTTTATATCCATATCTTGCTGTGTTCAATATTTTATACTCACCTTCTGCATACTTCACATTACACGCTGTTTTTGCATTTTATGTTATGTAGCATTTGATTTATCATACAACATATTTTCTCTCAAATTTAGTATTGCAGCACTTCTTAGAGTTACCGTCGCTTGTCCATTCCTTTCCATTACAACATCTTGTAAAAATACATAAATGTAAAGTAGAATTTTTGTTGAAGGAATCCCAGAACATACTGTGTGCAATGTCATACTCTCTGTTGGTTGTCGACCAAAACGTTTTATCTACTACCTTTTATCACTACTGGACTGTATATACTACCTTTCAAATATACAGCAAATAGTATAGTTTCAATACTGCCTCTCTTGCTCTCCTTCCCTCTATTTCATACTACAGTATCTCTCTCTCGTTTTCACTCATTTTATCTCTGTTTCTCTTTTGTCTCTTTTCCTGTCCCCTTTCGCTCACTGCCCCAGTAGGAACAGAATATGGTAATGCAATCAGAACAACAGAGTCTCCATCTGTCTGTGGTAAATTGAACACCTTAAGCAATGCTCCGTGGGGTTTGGGGCTGCAAAACAGGGAGGGCAGGCATGTGGAGTGAGACAGTGAGACAGAATGCAAGAGAGCAGCCAAAAATGGCTGAAAGTGTTGGTAGTAGTTTGTCCCGAGGTCTTGGCAGCCTTTCATTTAGTTGGCTGAAGGTGTCAAAGCAGTATGTCCTCATAGCTTACAGTCAGTAACGGCTATCTAATATGTATTATGTAGATGTATTGTGAAAAGCTACTCTAGGTAATGAACTTTCTTTTTTTCAGTTTTATGAATATTGTATACAGCCCTTTTCTATCTACAGTATATATATATATATATATATATATATATATATATACAGGGGTTGGACAATGAAACTGAAACACTGGCCAATGTTGGAGGTTTCACATCTATATGCCTGGCGGCCAATCTTCAGAGTGAAGCACGGGTGGATCAGTGATGGTTTGAGCTCCAATATCATGACAATCCTGATTGTATTTGATGGACCCGACACTGCCGAGGACTACCAAACCCTTCTGGAGGATCATGAGCACCTGATGCTCAAACCGTGTATCAGTATGATCATGCACCAAAACACACAGCAAGACTTGTGACAGAAGGGTTTGATGAAGATGAAAGTGACGTTGAACATCTCCCATTGTCTGACAGTCACCAGATCTGAATATTATTGAGGTGTTTTGGAGGAGCGAGTCCACCAGCATCATATAGTGACCTGGACACTGTTCTGGAAGAGGAACGGCTCATAATCCCTCTGGTCACTGTGAAGGACTTCTATCTGTCAATTGGTGCTGTATTTGGATGCAAAATGAGGCCCTCACCATTCTAACAAATTATTGTATAGTAAAACCAGGTGTTTCAGTTTTTTTGTCCAACCCCTGTATATATATATATTTGTCTATGCATCAAAGTAACAGATTTATAAGCTTTTCACAGTGTTTGGCTCAGATTCCTCAGCTGTTTTATGATTATTATTGTTCATAAATTTAACTTGACCATTGGTATATTTTATTAAATTGCTGTTGATTCATTTTATAAAAGCAGTAAATCACGAGAGGTTGCACTTTGCAGAGTACTGAGGCCCTGAACCGCAAGGTGAGAAAGAAAAGAAGAAAACTTATCTTGTTATAACGACATGTTATGTCGTTTTAACGACTTAGTGTGTCATTAAAACAACATAATATCTCGTTATAACGACATAATATCTCGTTATAACGACATAATATCTCGTTAAAAATGACATCTCGTTATAACGACATAATAAGTTGTTAAAACGACTTAATAAGTTGTTAAAATGACAAAATATCTTGTTAAAAGTGTTTCATTTGACGAGATATTATGTCGTTATAACGAGATATTATGTCATTATAACGAGATATTATGCCGTTTTAATGAGATATTATGTCGTTAAAATGATATATTATGTCATTATAACGAGAAATTATGTCGTTTTAACAAGATATTATGTCGTTATAACG